GCAGTACTAGTTGCCCTGCTATGAAAGGATATTATTAAATTTGAGAGGGTTCAGAAAAGATTTACCAGGATATTGCTGGGAATGGAAGGTTTGAGTTATAAAAAAAAGCTGGATAGGCAGAGCCTTTTTTCACTGGAGCATAGGAGGTTGAAGGGTGACCTTATGGAGATTTATAAAATCATGAGGGGCACAGATAAGGTGAATAGCAAGGGTTTTCCCGAGGGTGGACGAGTTCAAAACTGGGGGGCATATTTTTAAGGTGAGAGAAGAAAGTTTTAAAAACGACGTGGGGGCAACTTCTTTTACATAGAGAGTGTTTTGTGTGTGGAATGAACTGCCAAAGGAAGTGGTGGATGCAGGTACTGTTACAATATTTAAAAGATATTTGGCTAAGTATATGAATATGAAAGATTTGGAGGGACATGAGGCTAACGCAGGCAAGTGGGACTAGTTCAGTTTTGGAACATGGTTGGCATGGACTAGTTGGACCAAAGGGTCTGTTTCCATGCTCAATGACTTTAAATCTCTAGAGTAAGGCTTAACACACAAATTTTTAACTCAAGATGTCTGTGTTACCACTGAACCAATGCTGCTTCTATCCTTGATGTGGAAGTGCCGGTGTTGGACTGGGGTGGACAAGGTCAGAAATCACATGACGCCAGGTTATAGTCCAACAGGTTTATTTGAAAACACAAGCTTTCAAAGCTTTGCTCCTTCTTCTGGTCTTAGTGAGAGAGGTGGTTTCACACAGACAGACTTTATAAGAAAAAGATCAAAAGTCACACCACTGATAAGGATGTACTAAACAAGCCTAAGGATTAATATGTTAATGTAAATTCCCAAATTCCTGTCAAGTCACTGTCCTGAGAGAACTAAAGGTTTTATCAATGTAAAGAAGGGGTGACATTTTAGGTCAGACAATGCATGTTAGGTGTCAGGCCTGGTTCAGAATCTGTTTGTGTTTTGATTTGGAGTCAGACTGGTTTTATTTTTAAAGGAGGAATTTATAAAATGCCACATTGACTAACTGTCTATAAATTGTGTGCTTTTTGAACAAAATAGAATGTATCTACAAGTACAAATGCACCCTGTAATTTATGTGTGTGTGTGTATGTGAGGGGGGAGAGAGAGTGAGTGTGTGTGTGAGGGGGAGAGAGAGAGAGTGAGTGTGCGCATGTGTGTGGGGAGGGGGAGAGAGTGAGTGTGTGTATATGTGTGTGTGTGAGTGAGGGGAGAGAGAGAGAGTGTGTGTCTGTGTGTGTTCCCTGAGTAATCATAAATGTGAAAATTTGATTAAACCACTGAATTACTCAATTCTAATAACTGTCCAATTCAGAATACAAGTATGTATACTAGGATTTTTATTAACAAGAAAATAATTTCATTGTAATCAAACTTTTCTTAACTAATGGCAAAAAAGAAACATGAATTGCTAACTTGTAACTCTAGAAGTTAAACTCTATCCCTTTTTAACATTCCCACTCACATGCAAATAG